TGTACTATGTACTGCCAGGTTGTGCTTGACACTCTATTTTCTAGGATATTTTGCATTGAAATCTATGAATATTGTTAAAGAAAAAAAAATTACCCAGTGGCACTTGTTACCGATAGTAAGGAAGACTTTATTCAAAGGGAACTGCCTTGATAGTATAGGGACCACTGTAATGGGGTCTTGTAGTGGAGGAGAGAGATTGGGCTCAACTCTAAATACAACAAGGAAAAGTGGAAATTTTAAACCAAGAAACAGCATTGTGGAGAGGTCAATGGATGAAAAATCACTAAGGGGAAACATCAAGTGTAAGAGGAATTCTGGTTAAACTGACCTAACAGATTATTGCTGAAGGCAAGCCAGGCTGATCAGATACCTCCTGAGAGATGGTGAAGAATAAGAACCTGATTAGGTATCATTGGTGATGAAGTATGGAGGATGGGGAATTCTGGCTAAACCGTCTAAGCAGGATTCTCCCTAAAACTGGACAATGCAGAGATGAACACAGAAACCTAACAGTCAGGGCCTAGTTAAGAAAGAGCTTGGAAGAAGAGAATAAAGGTCAAGGACAGAATATTTATCAGTATGGCCTATAATTTTCTTTTCTATGAAATTTTTGTATTTTGGAATCTGTGATACAAAAGGTTTGGAAGATTTTCCTTCTAATATGTCCCCGGGACCTCTTAAGGCACAAACTGCTTCAAGAAATCATCCTCGTCATCATGAGGGCTAAGGTTACGTGAGCACTTCCTGTGTGTGAGGCTGTCTGTAGGCTGCTCGTCCCTGGGAACCCCATGAGACTGGAACTATGATTTTTTTCCAATTTGAAGATGAGAAAGCTAAGGTGCACAAGTGTGAAGTACTTCACCTTGTGCTGGTAAGTAGCTGAGCAGGATTATCCAGGCTCCAGAGTCCACACTCTTACGCCATAGTTTGACATGAAACCAAACTGCGAAAAAAGATGGCATGGGAAATAAATGGTGTGGGGTTTTTCATTCCCCTTACCTGATTTCCTTTAGGATCATCTGATTTATTTTATGGTTATCGTGTGGAAATGTATGTGGCAGAAACAAAGGGCACTCTGACAGCATTCTAAAGCAGGTGGCTTACAAGGCAGATGTCCTCTATTAAAAAATGAGAGAATTGGAATTTGTCAAACACAGCAATTATGGGAGGATTATTTATATAATAAAAAACTCTAGTACCTTATAAAGGATTTCAATAGTAGATTTCCCCAAACAGTAAACTGCCTCTGTGGTCTATCATAGGGCATTTAAAATATTAAGCAAATTAGATATAAATAGTCTACAACAGGCTTAACTATTAGGAAAGGAACATTTGTTAAGGTAACTGCATTCCACACGATTTTCTTAAATTGACATTTTAGTTAACACATGCTTTAAATGAAAAAGTCATGTATTTTGGCATGTTTTACCAGAATTTCTGATCAGGCTACTGTTGTGTATATTTCCAGGTTGCTACAAACCCACAAAGAATTTCATAGCTCAGAACAGAAATAGAAATCTTCTTTTTCACTTGTTTTATTTTTCCGTATCTGTGTTACCAATCAAATGCAAACACTGCTGAAATCCATGAACATCGAAAGTTTTTAACGAGCAGAGAGGGCCACATGTGCACCCAGATTCCAACATCTGTTCCAATTTGTAATTGGCTGTAACTGCCTTTGCTTTATGCGAAATGACTGGGATCATAACAAAAATTACTTTTAAATTGCTTGTATGTCTTGGATCATGCGTGTTATTTTTCTAGTACTTCAAGTCTTCTTAAAAACCACTGAGGCATAGTTGGGTTAATGTGTATCAAGGAAGGAAATAAAAGGCTAACTCTAAGAGGCTTTGTTTCACTAAGGACAATTTAAGAAAAATAGGGATTTAGCTTTTCTTTCTAGAAGTAAATTCCAGAGTTTTAGTAAAAGGGCATTTTGAGGACTAGATTAAGGTAGCGACTTAATTTGCAGGGCTGAGTGCAAAATAAAAATGAAGGATTCCTGGTTCAAAAAGCAGTGGGGGTGGGAGGGTGCCATTAAAGGTACTAAAATATAAAGTTGTTCCCTTTCTTCCAGAGTTTCCCTCTCAGCTTGTCCTGGTCTTATTTTATTTGCTCCTTAATGTCATTAAATTAAGTTTGTTTATTATCAGCATGAATTTTAACATTTAGCATTATACTGGGCAATGCTAGTTTTAGGTGCAAACGTAAGTGCTTTAAACTACAAAGCAGTATCACCGACGTTACACAATTTGTAGTTGGTAGTTCATACATGTATTTCATTCTTACCAGAGTAGTGGAAATGTACAAAACTAACTCAACTTTTTATTTCGTTTCTTGATACGTGCACATACTACCAATACTCTGCCTTTGACTTGCCTATGAATGTGGAAGAATAAAAAGAAAAGGAACTAGGGGTTGCTCTAACTACTCCTTCTACGTCATCATTTCCAGCATAAGTAGTTGGTGAATACAAGAAGTAACATGCGTAAGGAAGAATACAATTGGATTCCTTACTCATTTGTGTTTCTTAAAAGGCTATTGCCTTCATTATGCTTTGAATCAAGTTCTGGTTCAAATGGGAACTGTGGCCCTTACTCAGTCATAGGTGTAATATGCTCACCTTGTTCTACCTTTGAGTGTTGCTGAACTCCCAGACAATCATGGATCCTTTGACATGCTGGGCTAATGGAGCATCTCGAATGCTCTATGTGGATGGGAGGACATGCATATTGTTCCGGTCTTTGCTCACTCGCATGCTCCATCCTTCCATCAAACTTCCCTTGCAAAACACAAAGTCAAAGACAAAAGTGTTAACAATTTCAATATGGTGACAGCGGGTTATTAAACCAAAGCTTGGTACCCTTTTGGGCACAGGACTCTGTGCGACTGCCCACGTTTTGTGCCCATCAAGCTGACTGCTGTGGTGACCTTATCTACATATTGGGGTGATAATAAGATGTCTCGGGAGGATTGCCATGAGGAGTAATGAAGGCATGAATGTAAAGTGCTTAACAAGTATCCTGCACATAGAAAATACTCAGTACATGGTAGTTTCTTAGTACCTAAGTCACGTTATATCTCAAAGAAAATCAGGAAATGGTTAATGTATTTCTACTAGGAAACTTGATTTAGATTAAATGCATTCCCAACATAAGCTTCACTAAACAGGATTTGCTTCCAAACACTTGAGACTCTGAAACACAATGAATACTCCTTTATCTGTGCTGTGCTCATGAGGCAACTAGATGATAAACAGGCAGAGCTCTGTTTATCCTGAAGTTCCCTGGTTTGGTTTATGCCGTGGTAATTACCCAGCAAGTTATAGCAAATAGAGCAGTGAGATGTCCAGAAAAAAACAAAGGCTCTAGTCATTTAAGGCAGTTGAATTTCCAGGTTGCCTTCGGCTGAGAATGAGGTCAGTTCTGTAAAGCCGGGGGCAGACAAGGCCTCTGTGAACCCAGAATGAACACAACACCAAGATGTGCGATGTGCCTTAGCAAGTGGTGGGGAACTCTTGTTGATTACAGTGTCTGAATGCAACTTGGAGTAGAATGAGTTTCAGGATCCAAAGTTACTGAAGAAATATCTTATATAATAAGAGAGGAATATTCTAATTAGCTGTTACGCCCTGAGGTGTAACGATCAAGTGCGTCAAGACCAGGTCACGGATCAGCAGGAGGGTGGGCCAGCGAGGTACAAGCAGGCTGTGGAGACTACAGGAGGGGGCAGGGCAGCAAGCTATGAGGGGGGGAAAGGGGGTGGGGGAAGCTACAGGAGGGCGGGGCAGTTGGCAGAGAGCTACAGGAGGATGCAGCGACCTACTGGCGCATGGATTCGTGCACAGAGCTACTAGTATTATAAATAATACCCATCACTTAGTAATTCTAGTAGAGCTGCTTATAAAATGCTATTTAGTATGCCCCAAGTGTATTTGCTTTATTACATGTATTGAAACCAACCATGGACCTTGGAAACGTCAATTTAAAAAAGAGCATTTGATAAATTATTAGCTCATGATTGAGTTGGCACATACTAATTATTTAAACACCATTTTATTTAAAACCTAAATATTTTAAAAACAGATTCTCTATTAATTTATTTCCCATTGGCATATTTTAGGTGAAAATCATAGCAACCTAAAATTGTGAGCTTATTTTAAAATTTTTCACACAAATGACTGGTTAGATATGAGATTGGCTGAGAAATTATGTAACAAGATGAAATAGGTCATTATAAATACTCATATGTTGCCCTGACCGGTGTTGTTCAGTGGTTAGAGTGTCAGCCCATGAGCTGAAGGGTCACCATTTGGTTCCTAGTCAAGGGAACGCACTTGGGTTGCAGGTTTGATCCCTAGCCCTGGTTGGGGCATTTATGGGACGAAACCAATTGATGTGTTGATGTGTCTCTCTCATATCAATGTTTTTCTCTCTCTCTCTCTTTCTCCTTCTCTCTCTCTCCCTCCTTCCCTTCCATTCTCCCTAAAAAAATCAATGGAAAAAATATCCTTAGGTGAGGATTAAAAACAACAAAATAATATCTTCACAAAAGTGAGCCATTTCAGATCATACAACAGGTGACATGACCATGTATTTTATGCAAGTGGGATTTTCCGTCTCTGGTTTTAGCATCAGGATGAACCTCTGTGAGGAAGAGGATCACAGAATTGATTTGATCTGATTTTTAAAAAATCTCTTTACAGGGGAAAGGATTGATGAAGCTGTGACATGAAATCCATGTCTAGTAAGATTCTTTTAAGAACTATCCCCTACCCCTGTCCATTTAGTCTTAAAAATCTGGATTTAATTTTCATTTTAAACCTGAGTTAAATTGAACTATGCAAAAAGTATTAAGTTTCTGAATTCCTGGGTCTTCTCATCCACTGTGGTTACGATGACTAAAGTTGGGAGCACTGAGTCAGGACATGGGTGTGCTGTGGCAAATGCTGCTCGTTCTCAAAGAATTTTATTGATAAATAAAGTTATTATTATTTCCAGATGCAGAGCCTAAATATCTGATTGTCGTGCGACCTGCTCCTCCACCAAGTCAAAAGAAGTCATGCTCAGGTATTTTTCATTCACTTTGTTTTTTATTAACTCTAAACCATGACTTTTTGTCTCTTTTCTATCCATGGAGACCCAGTGCCTTGGGGAGGCCTTAAGAATGCAGTTTAGAAGTTGAAACATGCACAGCAGGCTCTGGGTCAATAGATTAGTAGCAGGGGCAGGAGGAGACTTCTCGGGATCCTATCCCAGTACCACCACATGTGAACAAGGGCTTTAGGCAAATATTGAACCTCTCAGCGCCTCCTTTCTGCTGCATAATAAGGGTCATCGTGAGAATTAAATGAGTTCGTGGATATGCCACACCTAGGACAAGGCCTGGCTCATAGCAAGTGCTCCCTGAGAGTTGTTCCTCCTAGTGTCTTTGTTTTGAAATGTGTGACCTCATGCTTGCTATTGGGCCTTTCAGATTTTGAAGGCAGATTTTGATGTCTAACCTTTGCTGAAGGAGACTGTTTACATTTCAAAGGCATAATTAATTTATATGTGTTGGATTAAATAGACTTAGATTTTATTTACTCCTGATCTCTCCCTTCTAAACCTCTTCTATTTAGTCAAATATAGAAGAACTCCTTTTATGAAACAGCAATGCAACACCCATCTTCCCATGGATAGGACGTCTCAAAATGGGAACATAGATGCCATATGAATAAATGAGTAGAATTATTTCCATGTGATCAAAAGATTAAAGTCCTTCTTGAAATTACCCCAGTTTCCCTACTTAAGTGTCTTCTCAGATCAAATGAGTTGCCATTGCTATAATGAGGGACCAATTATAGCTGCGAATATGATTTTACCACCTGATACCACACCTTCCTAACTCTGTGGGTAGAGTTGACCTTGTTTTCCAATGTGAACTGTTCTCAAAATAATTATTTCCTAATCAGACTTATCTTCTATAGTACACTGGATGCCACACACAAAAAAGGATCTTTTTTGTTTTGTTTTATTTTTGTTACATCTTTTTTAAGGTATGAAATGGGTGGGGAGAACATACAGATCTTTAAATATACCCAGGAAGGGGTCCCTGGCAGCTGTGTGTTCGTCTTCTAGATGAATCAGCCAACCCTGGTTCACAGAAATCAGTTGCCACAATCCTCTCCCCTCTCCCCGCTCCTTCTGGTGTTTTCCACTTCTTTTAAGAGAAGCAATAAATAGTCAAGCATTTTGAAAAATACACATTCCTTTTCCTGACCTTTTATATTTTCCCAAAGCCCAAGGAAAATTTCAATCACTGCTTACAACGTGTTAACAATAGTTGTCCAGGCAGCTTTCCATACTCCTCAAAATAAATAATCTCATAATATTTCAAGACTCTATTTCAAAATATTTAACAATAAAGTCAAGAAGCATGAGTCTGGTTCCATGGGATTCTGGCTTCATATTCATTGAACTGTTTCTTAATGCAAATATGATCATAATACACATATACAAAAATATATATGGAAAGTCAAGGCGGTGATTACACCTTAGTAGCACCTTAGAACTTCATTTTGTTTTGGAGCTGCTATGACACTGGCCTTAGCAGTCATTTTTCACTTTGTGATACCAGGGCAGGAAACGGCTTCATCTTGCTCAGGATATAATGCCCCACCTTTCCTTTCAGGCAGCAGATATCATTTTTGTTTTTGTAATCTGCATTTGAGGATGATGTCATGACTAATGGATTCACTTCCATTCATTTTATATTTGCATCCACCACATACATTTTAATTATTTAATCATTTTATATTAAAATCAAACTTAGTGAAATAATTATTTGATGGGTCATGTAAGCCGTAGGTTCCCTTGTGAAAGAAAAATGTATCTGTGGTCTTTCAGTGGCATCATATTCATAAGGTATGAGCTAAACCAATGATGCAGTAAAAAGAAAATTAGATTACAATTGCCTTTGGTGTGACCTTGGCCACCCTTGAAAGTTCTGTGGGTTGAAAGTTGTATTTATCTGTAAAATAAGATTACATTAGTATTACATTAGTGAAAATCAACTCAGGGGTGGAAAAAGGCATACCAGGATCACCTCAGGGCCTTTTAAAACTACCGGTACCCCCTACCCTCATTTTAGATTCTAATCTTCCCACCTTGGTGCCCAGACTTGGACCCTTTGTATCACAATCGTACAAGGTACTATGATGGGTGGATTGGAAAAATCTACAGAGAACTATAAATGCATGTTTGCAACCAAGTAAACAATAACTATCATTGAAAATTATTTCAAATATCTTGTAAAAATTCAGCTATGTTACAATGAAGCAATTTGTCATCATTAGGTTATGTATTTTCTGGGCTCAGAAGATTTTTTCGCTGTAATAACAATTTTCAGAACTTAAATCTAGTAGAAGCAACAGTATGACACAATTTCCAAGGACTTTTGGTTCAGATAAGCTCCACTAAGCTCATACAATGGGTACCTTCCTACCCACTGGTTCCCACTTGCATTAGACTAAGATAACACAAGTTTGTCCTATAGCAAATACAACACCCATAGTCTCGTGAAATGAAAGGGGAATCCAGTGAGAATACAAATATATATGTTTTATGTTAGCTCTATGCAGTTTTATTAGGTCTGCTATTGGATTTTTATTTTATTCACTCTGTTTTATGAGACAGTGTTGGTTTCTATGGTTAAGGATCTTCCCTTCTCTTTTTCACTGTTTCCATTCTTGCAGTTTCACATATTTTTGGAAAGGCAAATGTCTGGCCTCTAAATACTTGAAAAGAATCTACAGTGGTTTATCAGCATTGCCCAAATCTACTCAGTCCCATCAGAACAGCTGTGCTTCCTGTTATTCCTCCTCTCCCAGCATTGTTAAAAGTGTATCTGCATTTTCCATTTAGACACTCACTGTAAAAAATATTCTTATTTTAATGGTATGATGGGGATTTTACACTATAAAATAGGTTTTAAAGAAAGAATATACCTACACCTAGAAGCTAATCTTTCTTTTCTCAGATGTTATTTCACACTAATTCACAGTCCTAGGGGAAAAACAGCATGTTTTTATTTGTATGTAAAAGAAATGGAATGAGTGTGTATATATACATACATACATATATGTATATGTGAATATAGTATGTATATGTATATGAAAATGTGTGTGTTTTTATTTTACTGGTAACAGCCAAGACCTCCATATTCATCCCTGACTCCCAAGAAAATAAAAACTAGATATAATTGGATATAGTTTATATGTACATATTACACATATATGAATATATACATATATACGCATATACACACATAAATATCAAAAGGAATATTTCATTTGATTCATGCTTAAATTCATCGTCAAAGAATTAGTAATATTTGTGCATTGTATAGAAGGAACTTGATACTTTCACACTTTTCTTCATCTTACCAAGTCATCGTCATGCATTTACCCCGATCATGAAAATACACGAATTGTTACAGAATTAACCTGTGTGTCACCTCCGCAGGCAAAACACGCTCTCGCAAGCCTCTCCAGCTGGTGGTTGGCACTCTGACACCAAGCTCCGTCTTCCTGTCCTGGGGTTTCCTCATTAACCCACACCATGACTGGACATTGCCGAGTCACTGTCCCAATGACAGGTAACTCATCATAATGGAAGACTTTATTTTTCATCTGAAAATCAGTGCCTGCTTTTAACAGTACTTGTGCATGCTTTAGAAGAATGTGTAAATATCGGGAGCATCAGCATTTACAGGTCACCTCTTAGCTGTCCAGCCCATTCTGGATGTAAGGGGAATGCAAAGGCTTACCCTTAAGGGAGTTACCACCTACCTGAATAGAAACACATGCAAGTATGTTTTCTTTTTTCTTTTTCTTTTTCTTTTTTGATTGATTTCAGAGAGGAAGGAAGAGGGCGAAAGAGGTAGAAACATCATTGATAAGAGAGAATCATTGATTGGCTGCCTCCTGCATGCTCCTCACTGGGGATTGAGTCCGTAACCGGGGCATGTTCCCTGACCAGGAATTGAACCATGACCTCCTGGTTCATAGGTGGATGCTCAACCACTGAGCCACGCTGACTGGGCAGTATATTTTCTTAACAAAGAATAAACTACAAGGGAGAATAAGCCACATGGCAAATGGGGAGTATCAGTGAGAAGTGTAATGAAGGCTCAGAGGATGAGGCTGAAGGCAGTTAGGAAAGACTGTTAAAAGTTGGAAAGGTAAATGTCCTAGAGAAATATAGTAGCTTTCTGTTCACCTTTTGCAAGTAAAAAGGGTGGATTGTTCCACTACTGACAAAAAGAAAAAAAAAGTTGGAAAGGTTGCTGGCTCCCAGGAAAGATGTATATTTAATTTTTTTTGCTTTGTTCGTTTTTTCCTAACTTTTCCATTACATTCCCATAAGCAACATAGGAAGGGTTCCAGTTGCTCCCCATTCTCACCATGTTTTGTGTTGTCAGTATTTTTCATTTTAGTTATTCTAGTGTAGTTCTCTCTTCATTATCATTTTGATATGCATTTCTTGTGTACTAAGGTATTGAGCACTTTTTCATGTACCTTTTGGCCAAGTATCTATTTGTGTAGTGCTTATTTTTATTTGTCTAAATTGAACTAAAAAGAAAGACCCTTAAAATGTTTATAAGTCCTCAAAAGTACCTTTCACATGACTTTGATTAGGAAATCTAGACTAAGAAAAAATTAAATTTCCCTAAACATGTCCATCCCACAGTTCTGAAGGAGACATTTTTGGGAAAAGGCATGTAGAAGATATTGCCAAAACCAATTTTTTTTGAAAAATAATTTTGAGATGTTACAAAGAATCTGAAATATTTTTTATTTCACCCACTACTAAAGCCATACTTATTTTGTTTGGAAAATGAACTCTTAAAAGAACATGCTTTCTTGTGTTAATTCCAGTTTCTAGTGGATTGGTCCAGGGTGACAATGTTAAGAAAATAAACATTTATAAATTGCTTTCTTTTTTAAAATAATTTTTTGTTCTCTTATTTTTAAAAAAAAGTCAAAAGTAGGGAAGGAAAGAAGGAAGGGAGAAAGAAAGGAAAGAGGGAAGGGAAGAAATTTGGAACACTTGTAGCAAAATGCAGTTATTCAACTTGCTTGATAAATCATTGAGGTGCAGTAACCTGTAAATTCATATAGTATAATATGGATATGATTCCTTCCCCTGTTCTCAAGCCTTTCCTTTAATCTCACCTGGCCTTACTGACCCTTCCATGAAAGAATTTATCTAATGACTGATTCTAATTGATAGCTGTTGTCATGGTCTGACAGCACAAGCAGGTAACGAATGTGGAGAAGGTAGAGGAGCAGATGTCCTAGTGCAGTGGTCGGCAAACCGTGGCTCGCAAGTCACATGTGGCTCTTTGGCCCCTTGAGTGTGGCTCTTCCACACAATACCACACACGTATAGTGCGATTGAAACTTCGTGGCCCATGCGCAGAAGTCGGTTTTCGGAAAGGAGATAGATGAAACAAGTATACAAGACGAGTGTGGCTGGGAGAGTTGGAAGGGGCCGACCTCAGCGAATGTACCTCAATCAGATTGAGGACATTTTTAGCAAAGGCCAGCTTAGGAGTACCCTAATTAAGTTAATAATAATGTACCTACCTATATAGTTTAAATTTAAAAAATTTGGCTCTCAAAAGAAATTTCAATCGTTGTACTGTTGATATTTGGCTCTGTTGACTAATGAGTTTGCCGACCACTGTCCTAGTGGAACTAGGATTTTAATCAAGGCAGTTGGCTCACAGGCCCAAGCACCTCACCCCCAGCCCCTGACTCACACCCTGGCTCTGTTCTTTTCATCAAGTAGATGGACTCATGCCTGTCAAATCACAATATTAAAAATAAAGAATTCCATTTTGAGTAAAGTTTCTTTAAAAATTGGGCATGAGAGGGGGTGTGGGGGGGCAAAGAGGGGATAAGGACACATACATAATACCTTAATCAATAAAGAAAATAAAAAATAAACAAATAAAAATTAAAATTAAATAATAGCATGTCAAGATGCTATGGACAGAAATAGAAAATTTTAAGACATGACTAAAAGGGAAGAATTAAATAGTAATGACTAAAAAGAAGTACTTGAAGTATTTGTGAATTTCATTTAACCATGCCTCCTTTCTCCCAGTATAGTTTATAAAGAGCTGACATTTTAGTCTTTGTGGTATTTAAAAAAAATAGTAGTCCCTATTTAAAAGCTCTGGAAATACTGTACTCAGTATAAGTAGCCAAATAAATCCACCAGAACAACTCTAAATTAGTGTAATTGTAAGCAGATTTGGAGAAATTCACTCTCAGATGATCATGCAGATGTTTTTAGAATTTAGACCAATCTAGTAGGTTAGAATAAGCAATAATAGCTATAGGGAATGATTGCTTCTCAAAAATTGGAAGGTTAATACAGCCAAAGTTTTCCTTCAGGAGTATCTTCTTACAAAACCACTGAAATCTGAATGCCCTTGGCTTGCTACAGAAATACCAACTGTTGTTATTTTAATCCCTTGAACTCTAATATTTGGCCCCCTGTGTAGAGTCTCTGATTTAAACACACACCCGCGCACACACACACACACACACACACACACACTCACAAGAATTTTCACATTGTTTTGTTGGATAGCCTCATTTATCCTACAAATGCAAATAATTTATTGGAAAAGTTTTTGCTTTTTAGTTTGCTTTTGGACTTCCTATGTCAAAGCTCTGTGTAGTAAGTTTCCAGTGAGAAAACCCCTGTTTTTGTTTTATTTTGTTTGGTTTAAACTTGGGAACATTAATTAAATGTTGATTCAGTCTTTTGTGGCACATGTTTCTATTCTGATTGGCATAGGGTTCATATGGGTCTCCCTGTTTTTAGACCCTTTTCTTAATTCACATTGGAGAATAGATGTGCTTAATTTATGGTTTTTATTCTTAATGGACTTTGAAAGGAAGAACGTTACACTTATCCTTGATAAATCTAAGGTCAAATGAAAGCTTTCCAAATTGGCCCAGATGAAGAGTAAAACATGTTTTGAACCAAAATTTATTTTGCCATTAATAACTTATTTTTTCCTTCCCATGTTTCCAATTTAAGTCATTTAAGATTGCTTTAGTTCTTGCTTCTTTGTCAACTTATTAAAGTTTTATGATTCATTTAGATATCATTTTTACATTTTCTAACACTTTCATATTATGTTTATTTACTCTTAATGCAGAGTGAGGGCCTCCTTGTTAGCTGGTTCAGAACAGGCTGTTGTCCCCCCCAAGTATTTAAGAAGTGGGTATTTTCAGTGTTTGTGGATTCTCACCCGAATGAGCACAATGCCTTGCTCTCCATTTGTCTTGCCATGTAAACTTTAAGTCCTGTGAGGAGAGAGATCATATAAGTTTATCACCATTATCTGGCCAGTTCCTGGAGCCAGCATCTGGTACACAGTAGACCTTCAGTAAATGGATGCTGAATAATAAGCAGTGAAATGTCAGCATTTTTACTTTTATGTTGTACCGTTACTTGAAACTGAACATGATATATTACCTCACTTGTCTTATTACTTTCTGAATTATCATAATTTTTCCACTCATTTTTTTCATCTATAACTAATGAGCCCCCAAGTTATATTGGTTTTGCCTTTGAGAAGTACGCATGTAAGTATCTTTGTCTTTTACTTCTCCATTTCCGCACCAATGATTCCAATCCAGGCACTCCTCACCTTACCCCAGATCATGGAAATAGCATCCTGGCGTTTTCCCTACCCTAATCCATCCTGGCTTTTGCAATGCTGAGGAAATTTAGAGTATCCACCATCAGCTTACTCTTTCTTCAGCCCAAATTTATCTTTACCACTCTTTCTCTTCTTTCCAAGGGATATGTTTTTTACTTTGTACAGTAACCATTGAGTCCCTTCCACATTCTGTAAGCCTTTCTCTTTTACATTTGCCCCTTCCCTGTCATTGGTACCCTGCCTTTGGCTTACAAACATGCTCTAGAGTTCCCTACCTGAAAACAAAATCTGTTGATCCTGTTATATCTTTCAAGCTATGGTGTTGTTTTTTAAAAAATTTGTATTTATTGTTGAAAGTATTACAAATGTCCCCTTACCCCCCTCCCCCATTGGCCTCCTCCACCCAGCTCCAGGCCCCTCCCCAGGCCTTCACTGCACTATTGTCTATGTCCATGGGTTATGCATATATGCATATAAGTTCTTATATTAATTTCTTCCCGCTCCCCCTTCCCTCAGAAATATGTAAGTCTGTTGCATGCTTCAATGTCTCTGTTTCTATTTTGTTTGTCTTTTTATTTTTCCATTGGATTTCACAAATAAGTGAGATCATGTGATACTTGTCTTTCTCTGACTGGCTTATTTCACTTAGCATAATACTCTCCAGGTCCCTCCATGCTGTCTCAAAGGGGAAGAGATCCTTCTTTTTCACAGCTGCATTCTACATTTTAATCTCTTCTCTTAATTCCTAAACTTCTTAGAGTGATCTGCTCACTATTCCTGATTCCTGTATCACCAATACAGTCTTTGTTCCCTTTCAGTGGCTTCCATCCCTCTCTACCATTCACTGAAACTTCTCTTTGTGGTCATCAGTGATCAGTTAATTGCTAACTAGATGTAGAACAGTGCTTAATTGATGTGCATGAAATCATTTGGGAGACCTTATGAAAATGCAGATTCTGATCCACAGGCCTGAGGAAGAGCCTGGTTTGACATTTCTAAAAGCTCCCAGGAATTGCTGATGTGGCTGTTCCTCAGAGAACAGCAGGAATGGCAAAGATATTAATGATTTCCAATGCTAAAGCTTGGACCTTGACCCATTTCCAAAACTCTAAGATATGTTTAGTTACCTATGGAATATTTTCATTAGATTAATCACTACACTGTGAGCTCATTTTTGAAGTTATGCATAGTGTTCCACTCATCTTCCATCTCACAAAGAACCTAGCATCATGTTTTACAGAATAGGTCTCAACAAATGTATGAACTAATAAGCAAATGGAATGTCAAGATTAAGTCTTAAAAATCATCTCTCCCGTCCATTCAGCCCTTGAACCTCCTCTGCAATATCTCCCATCCAGAGTTTGCAATGTCTCCAGGGATGGTAACAGCGAGGGGTACAAATTCTGCTCTATTATAAACTGTGTGGCCTTTGGCAAGTTACTTGAATGCTTTAAGTTTTGGTTTTCTCGTCTTTAAAATTGGAGTAATAATAGTAATATCTCATAGGGTTGTCAGATTTAATGAAATGACACCATAAAATGTGGCTATGTTACCATAGTGTCTGGCATGCAGTGAGCACTCAATAAATGGTGCTTACCATGGTCTGCTAGTCTTGATGTTTTTTATATTATTGCCTTACGTTATAATTATTCACAACACACTGTTATAATTATCACTTCAGACAAGCTATTTCATTTTAGATAGCACTAAAATTAGTAGGAACTTATTTTGTTGAGCTTAAGCCAGCCAGTAGGAGGTAATAAGGAAAAGAGATTTTGGAAATGGTTGACCAGTTTGAAAATTATTGCAAAAGTTTAAAGATAATGAGGACCTAACCCGGGTCCTTAAACTCCTTAGGAATAGAGAAGGGACAGGTGCAAGAGGAATCATGCAGGAAAAGTAACTGGCCTTGAGAACCGATTGGACATGAGGGGAGAAGAAACCTGGAAGGTCTGAAAAAGAAGATGGGTAGATTTTAAAGTAGTTATGAAATTCATGGAGGAGTAAGTCATTGGATTTGATCCTAAGGTTTTACTATACTAACAAGTCAGACACCACATTGTAAAGAGGATTACTGGTGAACACAATACAATATACAGATGCATTACTGAATTATACACCTGAAACATATATAATTTTATTAACCAATGTCACCCCAATAAATTCAATAAAAAATAAACATGTTTAAGCCAAACAAAACAAAAACCAAAGAGGTTTAGGCATTATGAATGGTAAGAAGGTGAGAGAAAGTATATTACTTTCAAGAAATTTGTGTGAAAAGACAGTAGCAGAAGTAAGAAGTAAGCATCAGTTTTACTTTGTTTTGATAGAATAGAAATATTTAAACATCATTTAGACTCAAAGAAAGGTCCTTGAAAGATCAAGAGAATGGTTGGGGAGCAGATTGAATTAGGACATGGAATAAAATTACCAAGTTGCTTAATTTTCAGAAGAAGGGAGAACCCTGGAATCAGAGAGGGACAGGGAGAGAGTGAAAGGGGAGAGAGACACTTTCTGAGGAAGAGTGAGGACAGAATTTATATCAGTAGTCACAGTCTTGGTGTGGCAGGACACAAGAACAATGATAAAGGGGGTTACAGGAAGTGAACTTTGATGTGAAGAGAGCAAAAAAATGTATGGAATAGATGTTTTAGGAAATCTAGTAGTAGTTAATCACATAGAAATAAAAACATTGCTGGGAGGGATTAACCGGGGAATTTATATGCATACATGCATAGCCCGTGGACACAGAAAATAGTGTGGTGAGGGCTTGGGAGAGGTGGGTGTGAGGTAGAGTGGGTCACTGGGAAAAAATAAAAAGAGGGACATCTGTAATAGTTTCAACAATAAAGATAAAAAATTTTTAAAAAGAAAATATTGCTGAAAAGGTATGGAAAGCCTATAGATGGCCTGCCATGTGCACCAAGCCAGGGAGTTTGTGAAAAACTAACTTAATTTGACATTCTTCTATTTCTCCACTTAGTATAATTCACTGTCAGCTACATCACAAATTTTGTTTTTGGAGTTTCTACCTCTGAGGTTTTACCCTATGTTCTGCCTTTGTATTTTATTAGACTAGAACAGCGGTTCTCAACTTGTGGGTCGCAACCCCTTTGGTGGTCGAACGACCCTTTCACAGGGGCCGCCTAAGACCATCCTGCATATCAGATATTTACATTACGATTCATAACAGTAGCAACATTACAGTTAGGAAGTAGCAACGAAAATAATTTTATGGTTGGGTCACAACATGAGGAACTGTATTTAAAGGGCCAGAAGGTTGAGAACCACTGGACTAGAATGTCTGATATGTAGCTAGAATAAATTTTTAGTAACAGAAACAATCTCAAAGATCATCTAGTCCAATTCCCTTCTTTTTCAATGGAGAAAAATCTATGCATACGTGGGCAAAGAGACTTTCCTGAGGTCACACTACTAATTTGCAGCTGACAAATATCCAAGCCACTACCTGCCTTCTCCACTACATTTTGAGGGGCTATGGATTTCTTTAAGCTATAATAACAATTCTTGTCAATATTGAGACTATCGAGGACATCAAAGCACAGAATAATGCCCGCTGAACCAAACACTGCCTTCAACAGTTTTATACTTAGTTGGGGTATGAGATGTGTTCTTAAGATCCAAATTGCTAGAGGAAGGCTTTCCAGAGGTCTTCTCTGATGACATTCACGGGCTGCTACCTGTTTAATAGACTCGTTGCCCCTCCATGCACTGGTGCCTAAATTTAACACGTTAAGTGCCAAGCCTGTTTTGTCTTCCTTTCCCGAAAGTATAGTGTCAGTCACTGGTGACTGACATGGCGCTTAACGTGTTAATCATCCACAGAAAAGATGCAATCAACATTTAATCCTGGGTGTCCTCCAGCAATAATGGGAAGTCTGTGATGTAAATACACAATAAAACAAATGATAAAAAGCCTAAATAACGCTCAAAGGAATTGTGATTCCTTTTACTCTTCTCTTCTGCATCATTTTACCTGTCTTTTACCATCTCCTTTTGCCAAGCATCACAGTACAAAGATAGTCCAATGCAATACAAAAGGTATTAACCTTTTGCCTGGCTCTCTCACTGGTTATCAGACATTAGACACTTCTCAGCCTCTCCTTTCCTTCTATAGTAATTCTTGCTCTGCTCCTTTCAGAGTTTATTGTATGGATAAACCCAAATAAATAAAAGTCTTAAGCCTTCTGCACATGTACAATGTAGACATTTATTGTATTTTCCTTCAGTTCGCACTGATTTTATGGGATTTGTGAATTTTGGTAAGTAAAACCTTCTGCAGTGACCATTGAAAAATATAATTATAGACCTAATTGTTTAAGCAAGGTCACCCCAATAAATTCAATAAAAAGAAAAATGAATAAACCAATATATCTTGGTGATTGAATCATTGGCCATTCAGAGCAATTGTATTCTAACTAGAGGCCCGGTGCACAAATTTGTGCCCCAGTGGGGTCCCTAGGCCTGGCCTGTGGGATCGGGAGGAAACTAACTCTCTGACATCCCCCGAGGGGTCCCGGATTGTGAGAGGGTGCAGGCCAAGCCAAGGGACCCCACAGTGGCCTTAGCATATCATTAGCATATTAAGCTTTAATTGGTTGAATGGACAACTGGATGACCGGACACTAAGCATATTAGGCTTTTATTATATATGACTTTAAAATGACCCTATGAACACCTAAGTATCCATTCTAGTCATTCCAGAAATATTTATGGAGTATCTGTGGTGTGCTAGGTTGTACAGCACTGTTTATTATCACAGGCCTATATTTTGCTTTAAAAATAAGGAAACTTCTTTAAATAAGTAGTTTTGTGTACTATCTCTTTTAGAATTTAGAACTTGCCTATATTACACAATTTTTAAGTAAACCAATGTGACAAGGGTAGGAAGCTGACCGAAGCAGAGGACATCCTCTCTCCTGACCTGCTGCCCTACTCGGTGAGGCTGTAGAGAGCAGAGCCAGAGGAGTCTTTCTGTATATTCTGGTGCTGCCTTTGCCACTAGGAAAAGTCACTACCTGGGTGACAATAGGCAAGTGACCTTTCCAAACTCCATTTTCACATTTGCAAAATGGGATTAATAATTTCTACCACTTGAGATATTTTTGTGACAAGTAAATGGGATAATATATGTAAAATCTAGCATGTGATAAAGGTGCAAAAATAGTTGTGGGGGGATTATTATTACTTCACTGTATATAATGACTGAAATATGAAGCCATAAGCTAATATGTAACAGTGATCTTGAATTTACATTGTTTGATTTTTCTCATTGTACCCTTAGCTTGGCTGTTGGTCTTAATTCTTTGTTAATAATCGTAAGAAATTTTCACCCTTGAAATGTAGCCCTGGTTGCATTTTGTAGTTTCAGGTTTCTCTTTAACAAAATTGAATAAAATTACCTCTAATGCAATTTTCATGGGTGAAAGGCTTGAATCCCTATAGTTATGACACTACTGCATTAAGCATTCATGAAATTACACCATGTTCTACTCTATGCATAACTGGAACAAAGTGAACATCCAGTGTTAATTTTTCAAGATAGCAATAACAGAACTGAGAAATCTGAATTCTGTCAGACCATAAATGTGCTGCTGCACAGTCTCCTAACTTTCAATTAGAAATTAAAAACTTAAGATTACATTAAGGTATTTTTTAATGTTCTCTACAAATTTTTCAAAAAATGAAACAGAAGCTAATATTAAATATAGCCTTTGGAGTAGATAACAGGCTGTGATGTATTAAGAAACAAAATATTCTGAATCTCCCTGTGATTTCAAAGCATCATATTTTGGGTTTTCAACAGATTTTATACAATTCGCTATAGAGAAAAGGATAAGGAAAAGAAATGGATTTTTCAACTCTGTCCAGCCACTGAAACAATTGTAGAAAATCTAAAGCCCAACACGGTTTATGAATTTGGAGTGAAAGACAATGTAGAAGGAGGAATATGGAGTAAGATTTTCAATCACAAGACTATTATTGGAAGTAAGTACCTGAACTATCTTAGCTTTCTGTAATATTTTTCTTTTCCCCCTAATGTTCAAATTTCTAATTATGTATTAACTGTATAATATGAGACCAGTTAATTCCCATCTTCTAGTATTTGAGAAAACACAAAATAAACAGAACTTGTTGGGTATTGATATTTCAGAATCTATTTTTTATAATGAGTGTGTGTTTTTTAAATGATACTAATATTTGATGCTGCCATTGGTAACAGTTCATTGATCGTGATAGTATTTTAAATCAATCCCTGACCTATGAACACCAATTTAGCCAAAAACTAATAATATGTGCACATATTCAGATGGAAAGCTACCAAAAGTGAATGTAAGAAGACTTTACGGGGCCCTGGACTTTCTTCCTGTTATCCTTTCATTCAAAAACTTCATTGGAATCAATGTTTTAAATTATAGTAAATAAAATAATATGCTCGAGTTGGAGAGAGCAGAAGTTATAGGTGTTTTCATAGTGATTAGTAAGAATTGACATAGAAACCAGAAGAAATGAAAATAATGTCATTTGTTCCTTGTTTTTGTCAGGTATAAACAAAGTAAACGGGAAAATTCAAAGTACCTATGACCAAGCAAACACAGTGGTATGTACCAGGTTATTTTCAAGAATGTTTTTTAAAATTGTGTTTGCATTGTATTTTTATTGAAATAGGAAATAGTCCTATTATTGGGTACTGAGAATGAATCAACTGGTTAGCTATGTATGGGGTGTTAGGTAAAAGTACTTAACATTTTAGGCATTCATTTCTTTTTTAGAAAACAAAGTTGGATGTATAAGACAAAATCATACTAAATTATTTAAATATATAAAAGTCTGATATTCAATATAGTTACTCTAGTACTTCAGTATTTTAGGTATTTTGAGATTATGTTTGTTATCTTCTGTATTGTGGATTGTTTTTTACTATAACATATTCCAAGAGCAAATTGGTACATGCTCTACTTACATTGCTACTGTTCAAATCTTCATCTATCTTCTATCACTTCCTACACATAAGAGTTAACTCTTTTCAAAATGATAAAGCAATTGCTTTGTTCTGTTTTATTTTGTTTTTTTATAGTTTTGAAAGTATTTTGTATTTTTTATTTATTTTTAATTTTTTTCTTTGTTGATTAAGGTATTATATATGTGTCCTTATCCCCTCATTGCCTGCTTTGTTGTTTTTTTAATGTGCCCAGCCTCTATTCAGTGCAGGAAATGTTTGTTATTTTATGTACCACCATTCCCCACCATCTAGACACCTTTTTTCTCTCTCACTTCAGAAACTCAGTCCCTTATTCTCCATTTTCCCTTCACCTTTCAAAATATGTTCTCGGGAACCATTCTCACAGTTGTGTATTACCTGTTGTAAATGTAAGCCAGTGCTATAACCATCACACAGATGTTTGCATTTCAAATCACATGCCCAGTTACAAAGTGAAGGATGTTATGTCACTGAGCAGGTAGAGGAAGCACTTTGGTGAGAAGAGGGAAATTTGCTCCTAACTTTGGTTATTAGGTATTGAAGTATTCAGCCAGGAACTATCCCATATTCAGGTGAACATGCAAAGACTATTCATGGCTGAATGTGTGCATGTGATTATATGGATGGATATCTTTTTGTGTCTAATTAAATAGTCCACAGAATACTCCATTGATTAGATAGTCCCATGGGGGAAAAAGGTAGTACATACCCCATTGAAAGAAAAAAAACTGAATTCTTTTCTGTGACAAATGGGTTTGAATAAAATAGAACTGAGAAATAATCTTGCTGAGGTGACTGTTTCTGTGGTTTGAATTGGCAGAAAAGTGTGCATAGTGGGGATTATCAGATTATTATGATTGCCCAGAAAAGTATTTTGATGTATTTCAAATAATATTTTAAAAAAAGGAGATTGCAGGTACATTCCCAAGCCATAAATCTTGTTTTATTTTTCTTTGCTATCTTTTTTCTCTTTCCCTCCATCCCTCCCTTCCTCCCTTCCTTGTTTTCCTTTCCTCTTTCTTTCTTGTTCTTTCTTTCTGTCTTCCTCTTTCTTTTTTTCCTTCTTTCTTGTTTTAATTTTTTCTTAATTATTTAATTAATATTTAAAGATTTAGAATATATAAAATTCAAAAAGAAATATTAACAAAATTTCCTATTACACTGCCAAATGACTAGTAATAAAAGTATTTGTGGTCTACTGTTAATACTTCAGAATATTTTTTTATTTCTAAGCATATTTTTATTATAAAATTAAAAGAATGTTATATAATTTTATACCTCACTCTTTTTACTTAGCTGCCATATGACATAGCATATTCATGTCATTAAATTATCTTCATATACATAATTTTAATTGCGATGTATTACATGATCTAAATATGCTTTCACCTACCCAATCAGTTTCTACTTTGTAGGCATTTAAGTTATTTCTAATGGTATTTTAATTGTAAGTGAACATTTATGATCATAAGTCTTTATTCACATTTCTGATTATTTCCCATCAATAGATTCTTAGAATGGGAGTTAACAGTTTAAGTATTTAACTTTTTTTAACTTCTTAATATGTCTGGTCAAATTTCTTTCCAGAAAGGATACACCAATTTTACATCTTGCCAGCAATGTATAAGAGTTATACATTGCTATAGTACCCTGATTATTAACATTCTGTATCTCCATCACTAAATTTCTAGCTAATGTAATAGTGTAAAATGTTTTCTTTATTTCTATCTCTTGATTGCTGATAAAGCAGTACTTTCTTCACTTGTTAATTATCCATTTGCATGTTTCACTTAATGACCTTTACTTGGCTCTTGTTTATTGGGCATCTCATGGTATTTTTGTTGAATAGTTTAAAGACATAGGTTAAAGAACATTGATCTATTAGAAAAAAATATTCTCACATGTGTTATCAACTTTATGAGAATTTTTGAAATAGTCAAGTCTTGAAATTTGCTTAATCAAATTATTTATCTCTTCCATTGTCACATCTTTAATTGCATTATATTTTAGAAAGCTCTTCCCTATCCAGAGAGCGATAAGTATTTTCTCCCCCTTTTTAGTTTTATAAATGGTTTGATTTTGTAATAATTAAATTCTAAGCTATGTGTTTGATTTCTCTCTGTTTTGTATAGTAAGGTTCTCTATTGATTAGGTTATATATTTTTCCCAAATAATTGACCAATTGGCCTAGTACCAGGCATCCATAAAGTCCCTTTGGCTTTGTGTCTCTTAGATTCAATCCCAGGGATTCTCTCCTAGAACAATTCTCAGTCTTGTTGTGATGGTTTCCTAGGAAGCATTTCTTATCTCCTGGCCACTTGGCTGTCATGCTTTGTCTTGCATGTGACTCAATGATATCATCTCATCACATTCCAGTAATTTGTATTTCTTTTAGCAGAATATTCCATTTAGGTTGCGTTACTCAGCAAGATTGGAAAAAATGATTGAGGTTTTAACTCCCAAGGAACTTAATTTCTTTTTCACATCACAATAGCCATGGCAAGAAGGGCTAGGAAGAAACTTCCTGCATCTATGACACAGAGTCAGATACCTTATCCCTTCAAGCTGTGAGGTGGAGTTACCCCCAGGCAGTTTAATGAGATGGGGTTTGAAATTCTTGGTTATTTCCACATGAAAATCTAAATTAATTGAAAAGATATTTTAAGGCTTCTCTGTGATGTTTTCTTCTTTGTTACGTTCTGGAGAGCAGAAAAAAATGTTTTGCATGTTGCAGGCACGTCCCCAGTGGGGGGTGTGCAGGAGGCAGCTGATCAATGCTTCTCTCTCATTGATGTTTCTAACTCTCTATCCCTCTCCCTTCTTCTCTATAAAAAAATCAATAAAATATATTTAAAAAAATCTTTTGTACTTAACTCTTTTATTGTAAGTGATTAAAACTGTATTAAATCATTTCCCCATGCCACACACATTAATACCAGGATCATTCACTACTTTGGAGAAGCAATAGAACACTGTAACATGTATGCATTGGAGCTGTGCTCTTGGGTAGCTCAGGAACACAGGAAAGTTGGAGAGAAAGCACTTGGGAGAGCCATAATCATCTTTTATGGCCACTTAGAATTGATTCTAAAAATTGATTTGATACTTTAGAGGAATATTTTAATCCAAATAAAGTCCATGTCATTCCAAATACTAACCCATCTCTTCCCTGAGACTGATCTTAGAAGGCAATATTTCAAGAGATACTGAATTGATTCCAGATGTTTTACTTTTAGAGTTTTAAGCAAAAGATACACTAAAAATTGTTTTTATTCATATATGCATGCTTACACCTAAAACTTATATCCAGCAAAAACTTCTTAACACTTTCTAAAAAGAGGTATTTGAAATGGGAAAAATAATATGAACTTTAGGCTATCCAGTTTTAAAAGATAAATACTATTTAGGTTAAAAAATTGACTGTTGATAGATATTTTCAGCTCCAATGCATACATGTTACAGTGTTCTATTGCTTCTCCAAAGTAGTGAATGATCCTGGTATTAATGTGTGTGGCATGGGGAAATGATTTAATACAGTTTTAATCACTTACAATAAAAGAGTTAAGTACAAAAGATTTTTTTAAATATATTTTATTGATTTTTTATAGAGAAGAAGGGAGAGGGATAGAGAGTTAGAAACATCAATGAGAGAGAAGCATTGATCAGCTGCCTCCTGCACACCCCCCACTGGGGACGTGCCTGCAACCAAGGTACATGCCCTTGACCAGAATCAAACCTGGGACCCTTCAGTCCGCAGGCCGATGCTCTATCCACTAAGCCAAACTGGTTAGGGCAAGCACAAAATATTTTAATGTTGAACTCAGCCCCCATCTTAAGCATATGGTTATTATATACTAGAGGCCTGGTGCATGATATTTGTGCATGGGGGCTGAGCCTGCACCCTCTTCAATCCAGGACCCCTCAGGGGATGTCCTATTGCTGGGGATTGGGCCTAAACTGGCAGTCGGACATTCCTCTCACAATCCTGGACCACTAGCTCCTAATCACTCACCTGTCTGCCTGCCTAATCACCCCTAATTGCCCCCCCTGCTGGCCTTATCACCCCTCACTGCCTCTGCATGCCTGCCTGATTGCCCCTAACTGCCCCCCTGTTGGCCTGGTTGCCCCCAACTGTCCCCTCCCTGCCAGCCTGGTCACCCCTTACTGCCCCCCCCTGCTGGCCTGGTCACCCCCAACTGCCCCCCTGCCAGCTTGGTCACCCCTCACGGCCCCCCCACCAGCCTGGTTGCCCCACACAGCCTGCTGTTCAGTTATTTAGTTGTCCCTCACTACCCCCCCCCCCCCCCCCCAAAAATGTCAGCAGGCCCGCTGTTTTTGAGACCTCCTCTGCCTCACGACCAGTGCCCTGAAAGCTGAGAATGTGTGGACAAAGACCTAAAAAGGTGAAATGGGGGATGCGAGAAGAGAAATGGACTTTCCGCGGTATCCGGAAGCACAGACACCGTAATGACTTTTAGCTCTGGCCACGTCGGCGCATTTCCTTCTGGGTAATGTAGTTTTTTCCCCAGCCCGTGGAGTACGAGCATCTCAGCTAATGACTTGGGAAATAAATCGAATGTGGCCCCGGTAGTGATGCCTGGGAAGGACAAGAAGAGACT